CCCCAGGCCACGGCTGGAGGCGGCGGGGGGCCTGGTGACCCGGGGCTCCTATGGGTGTGGTCCCCTTGTTTGAAATGTGACTTCCTAGGTCAGAAGCGCGCGTCCGAGCCCGTGTCTGTGTGGCCCAGGCTAAATGCATTGTGTGTTTGAGGTCCTACTGATACTCACTGGCCGCGTTGACTGTGCTCCTTGGAACGTAACAAGGAGCCACACTCGGCTGCCAGAGCCTTGGAGACGCCACTGCGATGTGGGTATTTAATGAGGGAATTCACGTCGGCCTCCTTGTGACGCTGTGACATTGGAGAAGATAAAACACATCAGAGCAGAGAACGGTGCAAGGCCAGTAGGTGACGGCCGGTTGGGAGGCAGGCGATCGGCTTGGAAATCAGGTTTCACAGGGAGGTGGGACTTCGCTGGGACCGAGCCTGTTTGTAGGAACCGAAGAAGCGCTGGTGCGACCTCCCAGGTCCTCTGGGGCGCACACCTGTCCGCTCCTTTGCAGTTGTGCCTGCAGAAGAGACAAAGTGTGCAGGGTGAGCGACTGCAGAGATGACAGGGTCTAGCAAGGGGTGGAGTGGGTCTCGGTATCAGAACTTCTGGCTGTTCCTCGCCCTCAGCGTCTGAGTGAGGGTGTCTGGCAGTTTAAACTCCATGGACGTCCCTGGGAAGTGGACACGGTTGAGTTTTATGTGGCAGGCGAGGGTGCCAATTCAGCAAGGTCACGTGACTCCACAGACTCGTCCTTGTGATTCCAGCTCTTCCTTACCCATCCCACAGTCGGCGGGCACCCTGTCCTCTAGGGTGAAGGTAGGTGCGGAGAGGAGGGGAGCAGCTGCTGAGCGCTGGTATGTGCTGGTTACTGTGGGAGGGGATTCACATTGTAGGCGCCACCCGACCTAATTCTCACGCAGCCTGAAAGGCTGGCCTTTGCCCTTGTTTTGCCGATGAACTGACAGGTAACTCGTTTGTCTGGTGTCAGTGTATAAAGAACCTACTATGTTCCATGTACCCTTCCAGGCAGAGGGAGGGGACAGATGAATCAGATGACCTGAGGTTCCAGACTTGGGCGTCTGGATTAATGACAGTGCATTAACTGTACTGTCATTTGAGTTTAGGGGAAAGGGCCAGTGTTAGACAAGTCGGATTTGAGATTGCAGACAGAAGCCCCTGCCTACAGGCTGATGGGATCGAAGGATTGGATCTTGCAGGAGACAGGAACTGGAGCAATTTGAGGAGAGAAGAGCTGAAGGTGGAGGGCAGCCCTTGGGGCATGAGCAGGGGAGGGAGGGGAGAAGCAGAGGCTGGAGAGTTGGGGGGGGGGGGGGACGGGGGGGGCTCCCCAA